GGATATTTTCACAGAGATTCAGATGGTGTCACTTCGGGGCTTGGGAGGAGACCTATTTATTTCATTCTGACTTTTAAAGTACCCGAGTCTTTCTGCAGCTAATTATTCTAGGGGAGGTCCTGTAAATTGTTACTCAGGCAAAACGTCTGATGGCAATAAGATGTGAGAGCCCAAACACTAATTGTCTACAATTACACATCGGATATTTTCACAGAGATTCAGATGGTGTCACTTCGGGGCTTGGGAGGAGACCTATTTATTTCATTCTGACTTTTAAAGTACCCGAGTCTTTCTGCAGCTAATTATTCTAGGGGAGGTCCTGTAAATTGTTACTCAGGCAAAACGTCTGATGGCAATAAGATGTGAGAGCCCAAACACTAATTGTCTACAATTACACATCAAGTTCAGAAAAATCATCACTTTGGCCCTTGTACACTTTGTGCCTTCAGTACACTGGAATGTGAAGAGCAGTGCCTGCTTCATTACAACTAGAATTACAGGGACAAATCTAACTAACTTTAACTAATTTCTAAGGGAAAGTGACAGGATTACATAATCTCCTATAGTTGAGGACCAGCCTGAATTCTCTCAATTGTTCCTTTACAAACTTTGTTTTTAATTAATTCAGCTTCAAGGTGCTCAGAAAAAGATATTTAGTGATTAGTGTCTTTTTATAGAACAAGGTAGTTTTTAACCCATCAAACTAACCAAAAGCCAAGAGGTATTTAACCTCTCAGTCTAAAAACAATGTTATTTCTACTCACTGTAAAGGGAACACAAATACACAATTCTAGAATGGTCTGATCAGAATAGTCTAATTACATCTAGAATATGAATAGTCACATAAGAACAAAATTCTCCATGGTAGAAATCCATATTCAGATTAAAACATGACAATAATTATACATTCCATATTGCATACTTACTCACCAAAGTAAGAATTTAATGAACACTGTGATTTAAACAGAGTTAATGCCATGAAGGGGGGAACACAGAATTCAGTGAATGTGTAATCTGATAGAAAACTTTACTTATTAGGCTTTTAAGATATTATTCAAGATGAGGAATTCTTACTAGGGATTTCTCTTAAAATTTATTACTCTGATTACTCAGGATTCCCACAATTGAGGTATCATGCATCCATTTTTTTTAAACACCGAAATAACAAAATTAATTTACAACATTCATAAAATGCTGAGAATTTTTGACTCAACAAGTTACCCTAATAGGTCATCTGTGTAGTTCTTTAAATGGCTTATAATTCTTTATGGTTCCATAGTTTATTATTTTAAACAGTCTACATATAAAGAAGTCTTCACTTTTTTTCCCCCATTTAAAAGAGGCAGCGTTATTTTTATGACAAGAGCGCACAGGAAATAGCATATAAGAGCAGTATCTATAAAACGATCAGGGGTTAACAGTTTAAGAGGGCTTGGAGGTATTTGTATATTAGGAGTAGCTATAAATATATTGTTATTGTCAGATTAACAATATTATCATAAAATAATTCTACATTTAAAGTGGAATCAATCTGGACAATTTATTCTTCTCAGTTTGTATTGTGTTTCAATTTATACTAAAAATGCATCTTATTTTCTGCCTGGGTTTTCAGGCAAAATAATATAGCAGAATTAGCAGAAAATTAAAAGGACAACTTAATATTTCTGCATAATATCCACTCCCAAAATTAAAAGCACAGACACAGTCATTTTTCATAATGATCAGATTTATTGCTTGAGAACCAGAGTACTCATTTCTAAAGGCCTTCAAAGTGACCATGAGTTGAATCTCTATTCATGTTAAATAGAGTTACCGGGTGGTTATATTGCAACATGGCACATTGACATTACAGAGCTGCAGAACCCCTATGAAAAACAGTACTTAATACAAAACCAGACTGTATTGTTGTAAAACAAATTCTGCAAGCGGACATCAAATCATTTTCAATGGTAGTGATTTATACCAAAATCAAGCATCAATCTAATGCCATCACACAGTCCATGAACTCTGTAGTGTTCTAAATTAAATCAATAAAACATACATTTGTGTTTCATCAACAGACTCTCTAATCACCTTTTAATGTTGTACTTAGTGGTGGGAGAAAAATGTTCATAACAAGGTTATGTTGTAGGTTGCACATAGCTACTAAGGAAATTTACAATCCTTTTCACTAACACTTTGTATAAATACAGTCCATACTGGGTGCAGTACTATCTGAAACAGACTTTTAATATTCTTCTCCCATGTTGTTATTGTTTTAATATAGAATACTTGGCACCATAAAACAGTAACAAAAGACAGACAAAAACAGTTTACAAAATTCTTGAAAGGTACATCCAAACCTATCTAGAAACTTCACATTCAATCCTTATAGTACTTAGAAAGAAGGTATTATAGGAATAACAAAGTGAAACTGCTAATATATGTGCTATATTGTATACTATATATCTGTACTGATGATGGCACTTCTATATAATATTTGTTTGATAAATGTTGATTGTTGATGTACACTTAACTAAAACTGCTAGACTCCAATGCTAATTGCTGATATGGCACTCTCAAGCAATCATAATGGAAAATATATTTAGCATACATTTTGGTAAGGTTTATAAATTATTTATATATCTGTGTATACACACACACACACACACACACACACAAACATACATATATATAGACACACATGTATTTATAGAAAGCAGCTGCTGTGTGATTCAAAACCATGTTACATGGCAGAATAGTAAATAACATGAGAAAAAAATCTATAAAAATGAAAAACAAAACAAAATTCTAAAATGAAAACAAACCATAAGCCTTGGTCAATGAAGAAAATATCATTTAAAACCATCAAAATCTCTATCTAATCCAATGTACAAAACCCCCAAATGGTCCAGATATATAATGTTAGGCATGACCCCTTTAAAAGTTTATAATGTGCTGAAGTAGATTTTCCACATTGACACACACTTATTAAAATCTGAAAGTTGTGAAATCTAAAATACAGAACATCTCTGCTGTCTATTAGAGTTTTGGCAACAGAACCGTGACACATAATATATATATATATGTGTATATATATATATATATATATATATATATATACACACACACACAACATAATATATATATATGTGTATATATATATATATATATATAAAAATAATTCCACATTTCTACTTGATGTCACATGAACATACAAGACAGTGAGGTATGTGAGGCTTTTCCCAAACAGAGTCCAGATGCTGAAGCATAGTGTACGATCAGCAGTCTAAAAATGTGGCACTCAAGACTTGATTTATCAATACAGCTGTTAGGATTATGCATTTCAATATACTGCTTATTCTTTCCTCTTCCGTGCTACAGGGTGGTTTCACGAAAGATCTTCTCATTTCGAGGGCATCTTTTTCCTATTGCAGAATTGGCATTTTTAAAAAAAAAGAAAATAAACACAAAGGGGAAATGATGTAGAAAATATAAACGAAGGGGAAAAAATGATATTTACCACCACATCACTGCACGACACAACACTTGTGCACATTTGCAATAGGTTTACCTGCCCCAGCAGCTATTCGAAAGGACAGGAACACAGGCTGCAGCAAGTTAGGGAGAAAGAGCGATTATACACTTGAAAGGTAGAAAGAGATCAAACACTTTGTAATGATTATTTCAAACAGAGTGAGAATCAATCTCTAGTCAGTGAAACTGATGCTACCTAGATTTCCTTCATTATTGTAATCTTACAATTCTCAAGAAATTCAGGAAGAAAACTGCCTATGAGGCCGATCTTGTGCTCTGAATGAAATCTGTTGGGATCTTGCCATTGATTTCAATAGAAATAGAATCAAGCCCCCTACATATAGCATCGGCTTTCATTTGTCATAGTAACTCTGTTCAAAGAGGATGCTTGTTAAATAAATCAATCATAAAAGAAATCAAAATAATTGTATCCAATCTGGCTATTACTCCGTTCCTGAAGGACACTGCACTTTTAATTTTATTATACAAGTTAGTGTATCTGCAAAAATCTCTCCTTCTGTAGAAAAACATTTTACTCCCTCCATAAAAAATTAGGAGCATATATACACAAAAAGTTAAATATATTACCAAATCTAAAATCACAATTTAAGAGCTACTACAGTGCATCTGTCAATAATACTGAAGTATAGTTTTCAGGTTTCCAAATGAATTTTTAAATGAATAGGGAATCTGAAAATTTCAGAGATGTTTTTAGTTATTTATAGGATTTTTAAAGAAATCAGCTGCTTATTAATAACATATTTCAAACTGCTGTTCCCGTCTGTAGTATCCTCAAATGAGGATTAGCTAACTACATGGCTTACTTAAAATTAATGTTTTATCATCTTTGATCTTTTTTTCCCACAACTGGCATATCACTAAGTATTTTTTCTTACCTGTTGCTTTCATATGGCATTTTATTACTTTACTAGCCAAGTAGACACTAAATACATTAAAATTATATTCAGGAAACAATTCAGGAAACTAAGTGAAACTAAAGTTTTCCAAGGACACTTATTTGATGTAAAGTTATAAATACAGCTAGGTTTGCACATTCTGATATTCAAATTATATTATATTTTTTATATTCTGGAACATTATTCTGTTCTTTAGTGAAAATTGTATATTATCTAATATAGCATTTCTACTAATTACAGCTTAATTTAATCCCAACTGATATACATGTTTTCTAAGTATCTAGTTTAAAATTAAGAAAGGAGAAAAATAATTGATTTCAATATAAAATAAATAGAAATTAATACATGCATTCTATGTTCCTAATAAAACTTAGTGTAATACAATATTGTAACACTCAGTTAAATTACCTTGTGATCCCCCATGCAGACATTTGGCCCAATATGATCATAAATCACTATCTTCTCATCATTTTCCGACTAATAAAAAAAGATTAGTTCAATTATTTTTCAGATTTCAGAGAAAATTAAGTAAGAAAAGGTTACATGAATAGAAGTTCAGTAAGGACATACGAGATTTCTTAGTGATGGCATATTGCTTACTAAAGTGTGTTCCTCCTTGGCTCCTCAGAACAAAGATGTTTTATGCTCATATACAGAAACATTCAATTAAATATCCATTACAAAACTCTGGGCAATTTCCACACAAAATACTTAAAATCACTGTAGACACCACTTCCTTTAGAGCTTTAACAACTTTTATCAACTAATATTTTAAGATGTGGAAACTAAGGATTCAGTTATGGCTATACAGTATTGAAAGCTCATCTCAGTGAAATGTAGCAAATGGTTTCACCGCAGTCTTCTCTTTTAGGAACAGCTGAGAAATCTTTTGACTGAATTATATAGGATATGAATGTTCTCGGAACAGCATGGAATTCAGATTGCCACATTAAAAAGCATTCAGTGCACCCATATGTAGTATTTTAAATGTACAGGTAGAAACATTAAACCTCATTATTTATTGGTTGTATTACCTGAACCCTAACCCAGACCCCATTTTTTTTATTACATCCGCCATGTAAAGTTAAACAAGTAAAGATAGCTGCTGAATATTTTCTACAAAACAGTTAAAATATTTAGCTATAAAAGAAAGCAAGCAAATCCTATTTCTATTATAAACTTTTTCCTTTAATAAAAAGAACATTCAAAATGTCTTAAGAAAATCAGTCTCAATTGAAGGATAGCATTCCTCTAGCCATTCCTGTGAACTGCTTCAATTTCACTCTACTTTGAACTTTATTCTTATACACTTGTTCTCTTTGCAGCTACGGTTTAATAAATAATAGAATGTACTCATCTTTCTGCCATTTACTTTGAATGTGTGATTTTGACAGTCTATTTTATCTAGCACAACCCTTTAGGAATAAACACAGAGAGGCTTGCAATTTCTTATTATGCTAAACAATTGCTGGAAGCTAATTAAATCTGGAGTCCGCACACCGGCAAGTCTCTAATACAATCATAGATGTGCTTTAAAATAGTTTACAATACTCATTTATTTTGTATGAAACAGTCAAGATTTTCTCAGCTGTAATCAGTCAAGTTTGACTGGGCAAGAACTTGCAGCATTTAGGACTATAAAGTTAAAACTGAATTATCTTTAATGCAGTAAGGAAGCTTAAGGTCAGATTTACTTTATAGCATGGTTGTCTGCCAAAATTATAAAAAACATAACCTTCTGCATTGTATGCATGAGCACTTTCCAATATTTCAAGATCATAATGCCACTACCATCGGAAGTGGGGATACATTCATCAAAAGCGACTTGATAATTTACAAAGGCAGCATAAAATTGTGGATTTTCAACTGCATAATCTTTAGACAGATAAACAAATTACAGCAGCGCACAAGCAGAAACAATATTCACTTGGCTGAGCATTCATTACTGCATGCTATCAGGCATCAACGCAACTCCCTAGCAGTGGGCAACCTTTGGTGTTTTAGGGCTCAGGAAGCATAAAATAACATGATGGTGAGGTAACCGACCATAGCATGATAGATGATGTTGCACGAAAGCTGTTTACAGCCCCATGTCTGTACAATCTGTAACGCCTAGTGTGTGGAGCTGAACATACTGCGCTGTGTGCTAATTTGCACACAGTACTCCTTTTTCTACAAAGCATTCAAAAAGTGCCAATTTACTATAATTTATTCTTTGAAATAAGAGGTAAGTCTGCCAGACCTGAAAATCAATTCTTCAGCTCCTGACAACAAAGCACTAATACATAAAGAAATAAAGAACGGTGCATAATAATTTCTCAACAACTAGTTATACCAACTAAATTCTTTATCTCATTAATTTTTAAAGGTACACAGCTATTTAAAGTATAAGATTATCCTAGACTTGCAATTAAGTATAGTCTAATAATTTGCTTTTTGGTTTTCTTATTGACCCTTTTCCAAGGTTCAACAATGCACAGTGTAAACTTTTATAAAAAAAATAAGATCTGAAAGCTGTGGGAAGGCAAATGTAGCTTATTGCATACAGTCAAGAAAAAAATAAATGACTTAGTCCTATTACATTATCTTGTTCTTTTCTTCACAATAGAGTACTCTTCTCTGTTGCATACTTTATATTGCTTTGCTCGTATTTGATAGGCCAAAATTTCCAAATGGCCTACAGCTGGATAAGAGCCTTATTCTACGCAGGTGTAAATAGCACAGCTACACTGAAATTAATGCAGTTGTGCAATTTACATCAGCAGAAAATGTGGCTCTAATTCCCCCCTGTTAAATTTGTATCAACAAATCTTTGTCCATATCCAGAGTATCATGGTCAAAATTTGCAAATGCAAATTTGCAGAACACAAGATTAAAGGGATTCTGAATATTCAACTCTTACTGCTTCAAGTGAACTTCTGCCACTTCCCTATGGAGATTATTTCAGGCCAATTGATGTCATTGTTACACATTTTCTCTGGTGTTCAGCCTTCATTTTCTTATATTTAAGTTGTCCCATTACATTTGGTTATATTCCCTAGTACAATCTGAAACAATTCCTCTCTTTGATGGTGGTTACACCCTTCAAACATTTATACAATTATATCTCATCTGACTCAGAGATAATTTTTTAAATTGTCCCTTACTGGTCACTCTGTCCTTTGTTATGGAGAATTTCCCTGGTGTCTAGTAGTATATGTAGCATTGTATTTACGATCCTACCAATATCATATAGAAATACAAAATTATCGTAGAATCACAGAATACTAGAACTGGAAGGGACCTTGGGAGTTCATCAAGTCCTGTTCCCGGCCTTCACAGCAGGACCAAGCACCATCTAGATCAGGGGTGGGCGATACTTTTTAAAAGAGGACCACTTCATAAAATTTTTGAAGTGGCTCTGGGCTGCCCTGGAAGGTGTGGGGTCTCAGGCAGAAGGGGTGGGGTTAGGGGGTTAGGGAGCATGTGAAATCTTTGCTCCCTGCCTCTAGAGAGAATTGCCAGCTGTTTTAAAACAGCTAGTGGTTCCCTCTAGGCACTGCAGTGGGAAGAGACTTAGCATGCTCCTCCCACCCCCAGGCCAATCAGGGCCCAGGGGATATGCGGAAGCACATGAATAGGGTTGCCAGGTGTCCGATATTGACCTGGACAGTCCCGTATTTTTGCCTCCTGTCCAGTAAAAAAATTCAGAAAATACCAGACACCTAAAATGTCCAGTATTTTCTGATTTTTTCCCCCCTGCCAGGAGGCAAAAATATTGGACACCTGGCAACCCTATGACACACTCAGCAACCAGGCCCAGCCCCTGTCCCCACCCTCCTGCTTACCTGATTCCGCAGGGACTTGTCTTGTGGCTGGAGCAGAAAAACAAAATGGCCGCCAGCAATAAAAGCCTCTTCTTAAAGGGGCTTTTTTTTTTGCTCAACAGCTTTGGTCTCCCTCCGCACCCCAGAATTTTTTTCCCAGTGTTTTTTTTGGGTGGTGGTGGAAGGGGGTGTTCGGTATTTTTGGTTAAACCATCTGGTAACCCTACACATTAAGTCCCTCGCCTCCTGCCCCTGTCCTGCCAAGGGTGCATGGCGGCTAGAGAGAATCATCCAGCAGTTCACTCTGATTCTGCGCGCCTCTGGTGGGGAGAGGAGACTTTGTGCGCTCACCCCACTGCCAGGGGAGCTGCAGGGCAGCCGCTGTGTGGATCCACAGGCTTAGCAGGCCGGATCCGGCTCTCAGAGGCTGTTTTGCCCACTTCTGATCTATATCATCCCTGATAGATGTTTGTCTAACTTGTTCTTAAATATCTCCAATGATGGAGATTCCACAATCGCCCTAGTTAATTTATTCCAGTGCTTAATGACCCTGTACCTGTCCCCAAATTAAGGAAGTGAATTCCATTCACCAGACCTCCTGAATTTCCCTGAACAAAGCAACTGCTCACATTGTGTGCAATGTGGGGGTGAATTTCACATTTCATGAGGGTTTGGTGAAAAGTGTAAGGTGTTAATGTCAACACTTCTTAGAGGTTAATGTGTGAGAAGAAGCACTTCAGAGAGAAGGAAACTTGAGTAACCATGGAAAAATGCTTTCAAGTTTCAGTGAGTTATCTTTTGATTGCAATTATGTCACTTAGTGCAAAGCAAACATTATCATGATATCATAACACTGATGAGAGAAGGAAAGAGAGAAGGTTGTAAACATAAAGAAAGCAAGTTTGCAGTGTTTCAGTACTTCACAAAAAAAGCATGGAGCCAATAACATTAAGATTTACTTTCCAACCCTATCCATTTAAATTCATTAATTTTAAAAAAGGGTTAGGATGCAGGAAAACAAAGAAAAATACAGAGTATTGGGTCTTAAATAAGCTTGTCAAGCCAACACATTTTTCCAGGTGAGCAAGGTTCTTGGGTGTGATGAGGCTGCAATCTGTCAATATAGCTCACTTCAGTAACCCTCAAAATATCACATCACTGTAGAGTGGTAGAAAGTCATACTCTAGTTAGCATGTCTCTTACAGCCACTTCTGGCCTAGCAGGAAAATGAGTTGTGGTAATAGCAAAGAGGCATGGATGGCATGTCCCTATACCACGTTGATTTCCTTCTGTCCTTTGGTCCCATTTGCAACTTGGGTAAATTGTGACAGCATTCAGATTGCTGTCATCTGGCATAGAGGACCAGTCCTACACACAAGATAAGGGGAATACAAAACCCCCCTTTCTATCACATTGTGAAGTTTGTAGTTTGGTCTGATCCCAGGATCTCGCTCAGTCTCTCTACAGTGAAAAGGGCCAGGGAAGGAGAAGAAATGGGAGTTGAAAACTGAGATACTCGGGAGCTACATTGTTGCTATGGCCTTGGCAAAGTTAGGCTTATCACTATGCACTGAAATCAAGAGACTCCATGTATCATAGAGGTGTAGTGGAACTTAGTTGTGCCATGTTTGTTAAACACATAGGATATGTCTACACTACCACCTTAGTTCGAACTAGGGTGGCAATGTAGTCAACCGGAGTTGCAAAGGAAGCCCAGGATTTGAATTTCCCGGGCTTCATTTGCATGTTGCCGGGCGCCGCCATTTTTAAATGTCCACTAGTTCGGACTCCATGCCCCCGGATACACGCGGCACGGATTAGGTAGTTCGGACTAGGCTTCCTATTCCGAACTACCATTACTCCTTGTTCAAATCCCGGGCTTCATTTGCAACTCTGGTTGACTACATTACCACCCTAGTTCGAACTAGGGTGGTAGTGTAGACATACCCTAAGATACTCAGATGGAAAACTTTGCATAAGGGAAAAATGCAATTATTGCTTTGGTGTTGCTGTTTTCAACCACTGCTGGGGTTTACTCTGGACAGTTTAAGAATTTAGGAAAAGACAAGAAATACCAAATTTAAAAAAATGTTATGTTGAGGATAAAGAAAGAAATGATTAGAAAATCCTAGGGGTGTACTTACTTTTAGAATCAGTTCCTTGGCTGAATGTGACATCAGAATTCTATCACACCAAGCTGGACATCTAGTATTCATGTACTGCTTTCCCTGGCTACAATCTTCACTGTATGGATAACTGGAAAAAAATCAGTGCAACATCTGTCAGCAACCAGCCTGACGTTTTAACACTCTGCAAGGCAGCTGTAATAGCCACTGGCCCAATCCACACTGTCCTAAAAAACCTGTAAAAGTCAGTTCTTTCAAAATGTACTTGGTTAGCACACATGTTCCCCCCACTCCTACATTTCAGACCCAATCTTGCACGATGCTGAGAACTTGTTTTAAAGTGTTCAGTGCCATCTTTCCCTTAGATTTCAATGACAGTGAGAGGTGTTCACTACTTTATAGGAGCTGGCTCTTAATGAATAAACATCAGAGACTTGTTATGTTTTTTAAACAGTCATACTTTACTTCTGTTTCTTCCCTCATCTTTATAAACTCACTTTACTCTAAAATGTTATTAGGTGGTTATTTAAAAATTTCATCTCCCTTTAAATCTCCTCACACCTGAGTATTTTTTTGAGAGAAAATAAACTCTTACGTTTAGAGAGTCACATATTGTCTTTTCTCTTATATTTAGATCAATCATAAGTTCATTGTGGAAAGGACTGGTTGCTCTGAGTTTGTACAGCACCTAAAACAACTGGGTATGTGTCTATGACCAAGGTTTCTAGGCTCTACCATAATAAATAACAATAACAACAATGAAAAAGGTCTAAAGCAAAAACAAAGTATTTGAACACAGTGGACCGTTGTATAGCATATGATTCTGGGGTATAAATTAACATCGGAAAGGGTGAGGGTACTCAGGAGACTGATGTTCTTTTCACTGAATTTCTATTGAATGACTCCCTTAAGGGGGAACAATTTTAAGGAATTACACGAGAGACAGAGTCAGAGGCCTGAAAACCCTATAGTTGCCTAAGCTTTACTAAAAAGCAAAGATCTAGCTGTATAAATCTAAGAGCAGTGGTAGGTGAGGTCTGGCTTCGCTGTACACTCCCGGATAGCTATAGTGGATGAGAGGCTGTGTAAGGGGAAGGATGACTGTGGACTTTTCTCTTTAAGAACAAGTAGCTGGTGATACAGGAGGGCTGTGTCTAGACTACAGGGTTTTTTCGAAAAAAGTAGCCTTTTTTCGAAAAAACTTCACCTGCGTCTAGACTACAGCCGCGTTCTTTCAAAATTAAATTGAAAGAACGTGGCTTTTCTTTCGATGGTGGTACTCCTCATTTCACGAGGAAGAACGCCTTTTTTCGAAAGTGCTCTTTCGAAAAAAGGCGTTCTTGAATGCAAACAGGGCTTTTTCGAAAGAGAACATCCAGAATGCCTGGGAGCTCTCTTTCGAAAAAGCGGCTCACTTTTTCGAAAGAAGAGATTGCAGTCTAGATGCTCTTTTCCGAAAGAAGCTTTTTCGAAAGAGGCTTGCAGTCTAGACGTAGCCGAGGAGATTTTGATCAAAAGGCAAATGAAAACACGGGGAAATAAAATTAAAAAGCATAATACATTAAATGCTGCAACTCAATCTGAAGTCACACTAATAGTGCACACACATGTATTTTGTTCTTTTGTAAAGGTGTTTGGAATAAAGCAGATAAGATAGAAGGTGTGTGTGGGTTTTTTCTTTGAATTCTTTGAATGATGCTGATCCAATGAAGCTTCTTGGCATTGTTATATACTCTCGGCATATTTGCAAGCAATGAGCAAGGAACCACTACACCTCATCATCAAAAGATATCCATGATTCCCTTGTTAGTATAATTTTCATCCCCTCCCTTTTTAAAATTCTAGTTTAGCCAAATATCTACCCATCTGACAACCCTACTATTAGTGATAGTCTATCACCATCTACAACCAAGCACAATTATGGTTCAGCCCTAATGAAAACAAACAAACAAGGAAACTGCAAAAGAAAATTTAATTGCTCTAATCTCTCTTATAAAGTCAACAAAACAATACCACAGATAGAATGGTGTTAGGAAGCTTTCCTTCTGCTGTTCCTGAATGATGTTAAAGGGAACTGTCCATCAATAAGTACGTAAGTAAATAACAGTGGAATAGCAACCAACAAAATTATACTTTCTGCAAAAAACTATTAAAGTTTCAAAATTTAAGCCCACAACTTTACCTGCCTAGATTTTCATAAAATCTGATTATGAAAGCCCATATTCTAAATATGTAAAGGTCATTTTTTAAATAAAAATGTTGTAATGGAGAAAGAATGCCACCACTGGATTCTGACTCTGAAAAGAAAGGCTCTTTTTTGTTTCTCCTGATTGTTTTAAGTTTTATTCCTTCTTTGTGTGAGTGCAATAATACCAAATATTAATGAGACAATGCTTAGACCAAACTCAGACATTCATGTTTGGACAGAAAAAGGACCTGGACACAAGCCAAACTTTTCAAATTTTCAGGTATCTGTCAGGCCATGTTTCCCTCTTAACTTTGTTCATCTGCTGACTTCAGAGAGGCATTCATTTGCCTAGCTGGTATTTGAATTTTGATACAGCATTGAGCACTAGTATTTTCTGCTGCACTGCTCCAGTATCCCTTACTAATTCCAAGTTTATTCTGTTGCCACAATGATTTTAAGTAACTCTCTCACATAAGAATGATGGCATCAGGTCTTGAGTTTTGCATGCAAATCAGTCCAGACAACATAGGAGTTAAATTGGTAGTTTGGGAAACCAATGGGAAGACACCAAAGACTGAAAAGAGATATAATTAACTCTCGAATGTGGGAAAACTGTCCAAGGGGTTTTGTTGGGTCTTCAACTGCTTCTGGATGCCCCTGTGGCAGCAGTTGATGAGAATGTAAGATGTTTAGAAGGATGCATCTTTGTCTGTGAGATACAGACCTTGCCCCAGTAGTCACTTTGAGGAGAGGACATCATGATATGCTTAGACCTCTGTAGACAACTCCACATTTCTAACAGGATGCTCCACTGTGTGGGTTCTGTGATGGCTTCTAATTAATTTCTATGTGTTGCTGAAGTAACCTATTTAAATAGGCTGGACCCTGGTTACCTCAGAGGCCATATCCATGTGAGGCCAAAGAGTTGAAATAATCTAAGACACTTCGCTAACAGCCCCGGTTTAGCTGTCAGGGGGCTGAAACCAGTTCCTTTTCAACAAGGGCTCATTGATAATGGTAAGCACTTCATACTTCCATTCTCCACAACACTGAATTTGCTCACCTTCAAGGTCATGCTGCAGGGCCTATCTGTTCTAGATTTTTCCTAAAGGGGAGAGTGAGTGAGTGGAGAGTTTTTGGAGGAATGCAGAGGATTTAGAGAAGATTCAATTGGCTGGATATTGTTCCTAAATTACTGATGTATTTTTAGAAATAAGCTCTTGTTAGGTGAACTCATAAGTCTTTGAATAAGAGGACTGGATTTAAAAATAATAAATATAAATCAGGAAGTTTGCCTTTTATTCTGCGTATTGCTGAATTCATAAAGGAATTACTGAAGCTTTCAAGATAAGGTTTTAAAAATAAGATTTCTGGGATTGTAACAAAAAGGCTTTCATGCTTGAATAGAAAGTTATTTACCACCCTACTTGGTGTGATATTATAAAACTGAGATGCATAGCTTTCTACCAAATGGGTTTACAAGCTACACTGCCATTAAAAAGATTAGCCATGGCAAACAGCCAAGTAAAGTGTACTGAATATATTGGAACAAACCAGTGATCTCAGTACCTTTTCCACCTCATCAAACCCAACAAGACTCATTTTCAAAACATATTATGAGAATTCAATTTGCTGCTTCACTGCCATACAGAAGTACAGCTTATTTCTGAGTGTCCATGAGATGTTTTGATGATGTCATATGGTTGGTAGCTTAAGCTCTTTGTCTGCAATTTAAGAGTTGACTTTTTCTGGTAACCTATGAATGCATCTCTGGCTTTAGTTGCAGAAGAACCCAACATAACAAACACTATTTTTTGGACCCTAGTTACCTCAGAACCCATATCCACGTGAGGCCACAGAGTTGAAATAATTCGCTAACAGCTCCTGGTTTAGCTGTCAGGGGCTGTTATAATACTTTTTATTATAGAAGTTATATATGAATCAATCACATTATATCCTTTCCTTTTACAGTATAAACTCTATGGCTCTTACAGAGTTATGCTCCATATCTGGAAAGGTCCTTAAACTTAAGTATTACCATATTTCATTCGAGAGTCTATATTGTGTACATTATTATTTACAAACCTGCTTTATTGATCTAATCATTGATCTAACCAGAATGAGGACTCCTGGCGATTTCCCAGGCTCTTTAATGATGACGACCCTATGAAGAATTTCCTACAGTTTAGAAGTAACTTTGACAAACAAAATCAGGTTTCTTTTATCAAAGCTTGGAATTATTTTGCCAAGATTAGAGCTAAGTGATATAGTAGTTATCCAACCATGATCAGAAGAATACAGCAATTTAAGCCAAACAGAGTGGGACAAATCCTGCCAAGTTTGGTGTGGAGGGGGGAAAGGAAGCTTAATTCCATTCTAATGGTGCTGTAGCATCCACCACGACTATGCTCCCAGTGTACTGGGATTCACTCATCTTGTCACTATACATTTGCCAGACCATGCCAGCCTCACTCCCTACACAATACTGAGATAGGAGAAAACTGATAGCAGAGTGCACCACAAAGAAGGAAGGGCAAAAATTTGTCTCCTTCCTTCCTGGGTGAGGAGGGGAACAGATGTAATGGTGCTTTCGCTACACCTCCATCCCCGCAGGGTCCTAGAGCCCAAGCCCAGAAATCTACACAGCAATGAAAGAGACCCAGAGCTTAAGCCCTGAAAGCACAAGATGGATGGCATGGGCCAGCCACATTTTTGTTTTTCTATGTAGACATAACCTCAGGTACGTCTATCCTGCATCATAAGGCCATGCCTGAGTCCAGGCTCAAGGCTAACCCTCCTTGTGTCTACACTGCAATTGTGCTAACCCCGGGCCCAGGGTTCCAGGATGCTGCAGGTCTGGTGGGTATGAGCTTGAGTTAAGCTGGAACTCAGGATCTGAGCCCTATTGCTTTCCAGTGCAGATGCAGCCCATTTCATCTGGC